ATAGCCAACTGTCACCCATGTTAGATGACCACGGCTCAAACTCATTCCCTCCTTCACTCTTGGCTCAGGCATATACACAGCAATTTTCCACCATTCACTTCCCAGTACGCGCCCCAGCAGAACAGCAAGTACCAGTCAAAGGAAGCTTAGCTGCAACCAGTCTCCATTATGACGCACACTGACACTCGTTTCAGCTGTCCAACCCGAGTCCGAGTGGACTCGAAGCCCTGTTCTTTGAATCCAGACATGCATCAAAGAACTCGGGTACCCCCACGATCGCCAGTGATGTCGCCAGTCCACTTTGGGAAAATGCAGATTTTTGCACTGATGCATCGACCAGCTGTCAGCATCCCCGTAGTGCCTGTACCAACCGCGTCCCCATTTGCAACCGTTCCATGATCGCATGTGCTTGGGCTTCCATCCCAGATCAGCAGTCCTACTGTTGTCAGTGTTGCCAGCTCCCACAGGAAAAGTGCAACCATCAGCACCATCCTTGGCCCATGAACCAGTACACTTAGTATCTTCTTTGCTCAGGCTGTTTTCCGACCCAGAGTCAAAACCCTCGACACCAAGCAAAGTCAGATCGCCCGATATGTCCTTCTCACCGGAAATCATCGGTGCCTCATTCCCAGATTTGTCCTTGTTCACAGCCCTTCTGCCGCGTCTTCTGCTCTTCTGCTTTGTTTTTCTGAGGTCCTGCTCAACCACTGTATGTCCCCCAGTTCCAAGGTTGTCTTGAGCGTCCTCCTTGGTTTCAGCGAAGTGTTGGCCCTCCTCCAGCATCCGCAGCCTGCTCGCAAGACTATTGCACCGCTCCGACAGTTGCTGCACCTTGGCATCGATCAAGACAAAATACTCCTCATGCTTCTGCTGGGTTTTTGTAATGGCCTCCCCCCGGACACGATCACCGGACTCTCGAATCCGGTCTGATTGTTCCATCAGCAGCTTCCGCAAAGTGCCCACATCCACTCCCACTTCCAGCCCAGGCGGCGCAGAGCCACATCCACGATCCGGTTCCATTCTTTAGGCGAGTTCGGCGAGCGCAGGGGGCCTAGGGTTTAGGGTTTAGGGTTTAGGGAGTAGAGGAGGAAGAAGCAGAGGAAGGAGAAGCTGGAAGATACCCCCAGAAAGGGCGGGGGCACAGGGCTGCTGCTAGTGGTGGTGCTTGTGCCGGAACTTTAAGTGCTTTGGAATAGCTGCTTTTGGTGCTGGCATCTCATTCTAGCCTGCTTCGATCATGAAACCTTAAACCCTAAATCCTAAACCCTAACCCCAAAAGCCCTAAACCTTAATCTTGATGATGGAGGAACTGGTTCCTGCTCCTGTTGCTGCTGCTTCTGCTGTTGCGGTCACTGTCGCCGTCGCTCTCGTTGCAGTTACTGTTGCTCTTTGTTGCTGTGACTGTTGTTGTTGTTGTTGTTGTTCTTGATCGTGCTCTTCCTATGTTTAGACTTCCTCTTGTTGTTGGTGGTGGTTGTGATGGCGGCGTTGTTGCTGTTGCTGCTGCTGCTGCTGCTGTTGTGGTTGCTGTTGTTGTTGTTGTTGCTGCTGCCATTGCTTTTGTTGTTGATGTGTCAACCGCGTGGTCATCTACTTGCCCGACCGGGATGGAAAGAAGGTCCGTAAAGTCAGGATAGACCACAGACTGGCCCTCCACGGAGAAGCGCCAGAAGGAGGCGACCAACTGGAGCCGACGCAGCTGGTCCGGATAAAATTGGTGAGAGCAAGGAGCCTCGTCATCCAGCTGCCGGAGCTGGAAAAACTGAGGTTTCACGCACGGGGGGGGGCCACGGGCCAGTCTTCTCTCAGCTCCATTGGAGGCACGGCCTACCAGTGCGATTCCGCACTAGCATCGGCCACTCGGGAGCCGCACTCTTCCTCTACTAGACCAGGACGGCTGCAATTGGCACAGACAAAAAAGCAGCGAGCCGGCATCCCGAGCAGCACGACATCAGCTGCATCAACATGTGCTGACCTGGACAGTGCAGGATCGCATCAGCTACACTGACCGATCGACCTTAGAAGGCTCAGGACTTGGGATGTAGGGCTTGGAGGGTTGGGTTCAAGGGTGTACGCCTTTTGGCGTTTAGGCCCTAAACCCTAAACCCTAAACAGGAGCTTGTGGTTCGGGGTGAGGTTCCCAGTCCGCCTGTGCAAGTCGCTTCGCTGAAGGGATGCGAGGAAGATGTTTATGACCTGGGATGGCCAATTTTAGGGCTTTCGGGTTTAGGGGTTAGGGTTCCCACTTGGTCCTAAATTTGGCCCTTTAAAGCCTCGGAAGCATGTTCGTAAATAGGGTTTTCTCAAGCCCCAAGATGGGACAATATAACATATCCCAAAGGCCTACCTATCGTCTTGCTTCAATGCTGAGTTTTGTTGCTACCATGTGATTAGTAGTACTGAGTACTGCCGCTAGCGGACCCCAAATTTTCCGAGAACCCCACTGCTCTCCTAACTTTGTGCCTCTAATCGTAACACGCAGGCATAGCAGAAACAGAAAAGAGAAACTAGGACGACTGCTCCCTAAATCCTAAACCCTAACCCTCAACATCCCTAGACTCTGAACACACTCGATTATCAACAGAACTAGGCAGAACGTCTCGGGTGGACCTGGACACAGAGAACCCAACATCGCTCCATAAGGTTTAGGGGCATTGGGGTTTATTTAGGACCTAGGGTTTGGGTTTGGGGTTTGCAGCTAAGGGCTCGAGGCTTAGAGTCTAGGACTTACGGCTTAGGGCTTACGGCTTGGGTTTTAGGGCGTAGGGTTAAGGGCTTAGGCTGTGGTGCTTACGGTTTAGGACTCATGGGCTAGAGTGTAGAGTTTAGTTCTGGGAGGGGTACTTTAAACGGGACGAGCTCTGTGAGTGCTGCTGCGTTTCTTCTAGACTGCCAATATGACAGTATGAATATTCTTGTTGCTCTTCTGGTTGTGATTATTAGAAGAACTACACGAGACCTACAGACTTGCCACAGAGCTCTTCACAAATTAACCCTAAACCTTAAACTAAAATGCTACAAAAAATCTTATACACCCATTAATGATCTCTCAGACTCCAAAAGCGGTACCGGCGTCAACGGGGACTGTCTGAAGGATCCGGAGACTTAGACAGGGAGGTAGGAATCAATAGTCTGCATTGCGCATAGCTAAAATTCCAATTCATGCACGGGTAACCGGATAACCTTACTGTCCCGAAATAAGACTATAAACCCTAAACTGCTAAACTATCCCGAACCATTGAAACGCTTGAACTTAAACTCCAAAGCCTTAAACCCTAAAGCCCTGAAGCCTCAACCCCACCTCAAACCCCACGATCCCCATAAACTCCGTAAGCTGCCGTAGAGCCTCAATCCCCAAAAAAACCCTCGCCGCTACGAAGACCCAATCCTCCAAAAGCGCTAAGGCGAGGACGACGAGGTAGTAGAGCAGGTTCTGGCCGATGTGCGTCAGCTCTGCGTCGAGCCACCTGCAGGGTTGGTTTAGGGTTTAGGGTTTAGGGTTGGTTCTTGGGCTGTTAAGGTCCGTTGAGAGGTTGTACTCTTATTGGAAAAAAACCATAGTAACGGTTGAGAGAGTTGGGGTGGTTAGAGCCTTAGGGTTCGGTAGGATGCATTGAAAATCCTAAAATCGAAGGGACCCGAAACCCGAAACCCTAAAACCATAAACCCCCCAAGAAAGCAGTCTTGTTGTACAGATGTGTCTATCTCTTCTTGTCAGGGACCCCATGATAATTCGGAACCAGGGTTGATAGCTCTAGTAGTTCTCTAATACAGGGTCCCTTGAACTAAGAATAGCACGGAACCTTTATAAAGAGGACCCTGAAAGGGACCCTAAATTAGAGAACTACTCCAGTGGTTTAAGGCCGACGGGCTTTCCTCTTGCCTCAGGGCTGAACCCTAAACCCTAAGCCCTAAACCCGAAACCCTAAACCCGATACCTTCAACCCTACTCAGGGCTTTCTTGCTTGTTGAGCCGGTTGGCTGAGGCTCTCACAGCGTTCTCTCTTCAAGGCCTAGGGTTGGGCGTTTAGGGTTGAGGGTTTTTGGGGTTTTAGGGGTTTTAGGGGTTTTAAGGATTTTAGGGGTTTTAGGGGTTTTAGTGGTTTCAGGGGTTTTAGGGGTTTTAGGGGCTTTAGGGGCTTTAGGGGTTTTAGGGGTTTTAGGGTTTAGGGTTTAGGGTTTTCGATACAAAGCAGTTGAGGTTCTCGTCAGCACCCTTCTTGTTGTCAACGCCCACTCAAAGTCTGAAAGAGTTCGACATTGTTTGACACAGGGCTCCGAATAGCTAGCAAGAAAAACACCCTTCATCGGCCTGTGCGATTCTGGTATAAAGTACGTACCTCACTCATTCTACAGAATATACGCCCCCTTATACTACGGCCTTGCTCCCTAGTGACGTTCGTCTCGCACACCCCGCACCTTAATTGAGGCACCTCACTCCACAAAGGTGGTTTGGTAAACCCTACACCTTTAACTTCAAGGGACCCTCTCAAGGTTTCGATTACGCCCTAAACCCTAAGCCCTAAACCCCCCCACACACAGCCTAAACCGCCCTAAACCCTAAGATGGCAAGCCTGTCAGCTCGGTGGATCAGGTATGCGCAAAGAGCTTGGAGAAGACTGAGTTAAAACGTCGCTGAGGGTTCGGGTTTAGGGGTTTAGCGCTGAAGAAGAGGCCCCTTTCGTCTCTGAACTTCGTGCACGTCCTTTGAAAAAGCAACGTTTTGGCAGAGGCTCGTGCTCCTGCCACGAAGACAGCGATACGCGAGCTTTAAGGGCACAGCCTGGCAGCGCATCGGGGAACTTCATTGCCAGTAGTTTGCAAAGTAGCCTCGACCCCTAAACCCTAAACCCTCAACCCTGAACCCTAAACCCTAACTTGCTTGGTTTTGTTGTGTCGCGCTGCTGCATGAGAGGGCCGAAAGGCTCGCTTCCACGGCGCTGCGGCCGGAGCATAGAACCAGAGCCGTGCGCCAAGGCCCCGTCTCCAAAACCAAAGCCCTAAACCGAACTGGGAGAAAGCTTCCGGCACTCGCCTTCGAAACGGGTCTTGTATCCGAGTTCTTTGGCCGGGTCCTGGTAGTCACCGCCCTTGCCACCCGTGTCTTTCCCGTACCCTTTGAAGCCAAGCACCTCCTCCTGCCACTGCTGTCGCTGCCGCCACCGAGCGAAATCAATAAGCCGTCCCAAAGGGGTGACGCGGACGTCCTCAGACACATGTTTTGCTTTGTTTGGTGTGGTATACTGTATAAGAAGAAGATAGTATAGTAGAAGACCATATTGTAGAGTGTAACATGATATAGTGTAATAGAAAGTACTGCACTAGAAAGACAGGTCCTCAGGAATTTCAGTCTTCTGCCAGAGCCAGCCGTCGCCCAGCCACGCGGGGTTTCCATCCCACTTGTCGCGGTCTTCCTCGTAGTAGCGAACCGGCCGTAAGGCTTGCTCGCTGTATATATTCTGAGGAGCGAAAGCCGCATCCGCAATACGATTCTCAGTGATGCTGGGCCACAATGCCTGGTTCCCGGTTAGGGCCATATTTTAAAAATGATCATGTTTAATCCTTATTAGGGTTTTATTACAGGAAGCCCCAGAAAGTTGGAAACCGGATTAAGGACAAATAGTGCTGGGATTCCCTATACATGACTCTTAGGGACTGAGGCTATTGGGTTTCCAACTTTTGGGCTTCTACTATATAACAAAATATGTAAAACTGTATCAAACAAGGACCCAGATGCCGGAGCAGTGTTTCGGATCCGACTGCGGCCCTGGCGCAGATCTGGAGACACTTGCAGCCGGCGCAGGATGAGCCACCCTCTGTAATCTATCTGACGCAAAGACCTGTACATCATGTCTTTATAGACCCCGAGCACATTATGAGGCTCCGGGAACGGATACTCATCCGGCCCATCATCATCGTCCAACATCCACAGCTCTTCCCTCATTGATGTGACTTTGATCGCAGAGGACAGGTCGCCCGACAAGCGCATGAGAACTCCACCAGAGTGCACGAAAACTGCTCCGGACGGACCTGCAACAAGCGGGCGGGAATATGTCAACTCTCCATCCAGGTTGTCGCACTTCGGAAACCAAAACAGAAGCCGATCAGCGTCGCCATCCGCGCAGCCTCGTCGTGACGGATCTCCAAGTGTCATGGCAGCTTGCCACGCAGATCCAACTTTCTGGTACACCCGAATCGCGTGTTCACCGACGAAAGTAAGCAGAAGAGAAGAAGAAGTGCTGGACCACGCAATGCTGCTTACCGGTTTGCCCGACAGGTCTGCCGTCAACGGAAACTTATCAAATCGTTCCCACGCCTTGTCCCCCCGTAGATGTGTGAAGACTACGTCGCGCGCTTTTGGACCCGCCTGAACGAAGATTGTACGCAGGCTGTCCCTGTCCAAGCATGCAGCTTCACATCTGGTACCCGACTCAGACAGGCGATGCCACTTGATCACCGCCGGGCATAGCTCCATTGAGATCAGGTGTACCTTGCTCCCGATGAAGACTCGCGCGACTGCAACGCCGAAGGAAGGGATCGGAAAGCCCTGCACAGCTTCAGCTACAAGTATCTCTGCGGGCCAGTGCAGAGGGTGATCAACATCCAGCCGCACCTCCACAGCTTTGCCCTCGGAAGGCAAGATGATTAGCGATCCCGGTGCAGGGTGGCTCTGCCTCCTTGGCTTGCCTTTCAGCATGCCCTTCAGGAGGCCCATGCCCTTGAAAAGCTGCTCCTCCTCCTCGCTTTCGGAAAGGCAGCTTGCTCTGTCTTTGGCAGTCTCGGTCTCGGCGCCGGGAGCACCCTTGGCAAACCTTCCAATTCCAAAGGCCTTAAAGGCTGGGCCTAGCGTGCACTGGCGCATGAGCAGGACCAAGCCGGAGTCCGGGTCGAGGCCACAGGCGTGGACGAACCTCTCCGGGAGTACGACGTTGCGGTGGGAATCCATGATTTGCAGCTCCTCCAAGAATCCACCCGCCCCAGGGGGCTCTCTCCAGCAGGCTTCCAGCTCAGACTCACCTTCACAAAACTGCAGCAAGAGCGTGACATGCACCGAATCTGCTGTCGAACCAGCCTCCAACAAAGGATCCACGTCTTGAAGCATCCGGTCTCCAATGGCGATCTGCTGCGTTGCAGGCGGAGGACCCACCTTCTGCTCGATCTGCACCTTCAGAGCTGCAGACTGAGATGTGGAATCCAGGACGAACCTGCCAAGCTCCTCTCCCGCCGGTCCGCACACAGCAAACTCCACCTCTCGCGCCATGGGCCCAGTTCTGTTGACGTACCCGTGCCTGCACCTTTCTGTGAAAGAGCCGCAGTGACTGGTTGGAACGGGGTTTTGGTGAGCAAAACCGAGCACGAGCATCATGGTCTAGGGACCAGCGGGGCCCTGTCTATGTGTTTGTCCGTCTTTCTCATTAACCTTAAGTGTGTTTAGTATGCTTTCCCCTGAGGGTTTCGGGGTCTTTCGGCTGGTTCACCTAGCTTGATAAGTGCAGTTTTTATGGCAACGCGAGCATCAGTATGAAAACATGACCCATTGTTGCGAAACGCGAGTACTGGCACTGCAGCTGCCGTCAGACGGTCTATCGGCCTTGTGTCTTCTTCTCTCTCGTGTTCTGCTACTAGTAGTTGGAGGCTGGTGGGACCAAAGACCTAAGGACCCCCCAAAACTGATATCAAAACTTGACTGCAAGCTCTCCATGTCCCGGTACTCGGTACCTCCCAAAGAAGCCCTCAAAAAACAAACACACACACACACACAAAACCGCGCCTGAGGAAGGCACTGAAATGCCTCAAGGTCACCTGGGACGAGTGTTTAGGGTCTGTAGGGATTAAGAGTCCCTAAACCCCCAAAAACCCAAAACCCCTCAACCCCAAAATCCAAAAACCCCGAAACCCTGAACCCCAAGGCCCTAAGGTTTAGGGGCTAAGGCCTTCCATGGACTCCCAAAGTTGGGAGGGCCTGCAGCGTGGGTCTTTGAAATGATATGCTGACATTCGGGTCTAGGGTTTGGGGTTTAAGGTTCGGGGTTTGGGGCGTTTTTGGATAAGGGTTTAGGGTTTAGGGCCTACCTATGGCCCAAAAACCTACCTTTTCAGGAACTATATATCTATCTACATATATGTATACATATATATATATATATGTATATATATATATATATATAATCCATTATAATAAGAAGCCCTAAAAGGGTAGGTCTTCGCGGCGACAGGTACGGCTTAGGGCAGGATTGCTGGCAGTCCCAGGAGGCGGAGGGGCAGATGCTTCCAAGCCGCCACGAGGCCGCAAAGGATCATGAGAGCGGCCAGGGGCCTTAGAGTTTAGGGGTTTTGGGGTGAGGGTTTAGGGTTTAGGAACATCATTAGGGATGGTGCGCGCCCTCCTCTGCAGCACCGAAGCAGGACTTTCATGATACTGTGACGCTAAACCCAAACCATTCTACAATAGTACGAATGTAGGGGGCCTCAATAAGTAGAATAGGGTGTTGGTGGTTCCTCGTTATAACTATCGTACAATATATCCCTCAGACCCTATTCTAATTATTAAGGCCCCTATACTATACACTAAACCCCTAACCCCTAAACCCTAAACCCCTAAAACCCTAAACCTTAAAAACTCGAAAATAGAACCCTTATAGATCCCTTTTAACGGA